TTGCATTGTGTGTGTAATGGATGTATTGTGTGTTTCTCTGTGTGTAAGGGAAGCATGTTGTGTTTCTGTGTGTGTAGGGATGCATTGTGTGTTTCTGTGTATGTATACGGATGCATTGTGTGTGCATGTGCGCAGAGTGTGAAAGATCTCCCTGTCTTGCCCCCTGTCCTATAGAGCTGTCCGTTCTGTCCCTTAGAGCTCTCCCTCACCCTCCCCTAGCTGTCTCTTCTCACACTCACACACCCTCCCTGTGTTCTTCTCACTCCAACCCTCCATGTGTTCTCCTAACCCCCTGTGTTCTTCTCACCTCCCCCCTACCTGTGTTCTCTTCATATCCCCTTCTCCTCTCCCCCGTGTTCTTCTTACCCCCTCTCCTCCTTGTTCTCCTCGCCACCCACCCTCCCTGTGTTCTTCTCAGTCCCCCCGTTCTCCTCATCTCCCCTTGTGTTTTTCTTACTCTCCCCCTGTAACGGCACCCCCGAGGCATAAAAGGGTTAAACCGCCATTTAGAAGATCTTCCCCTTCCAGAGATACAGGCACAGCTACTGCAGAACACCAAACTCCCGAACCGCATATAAGGGAATGCTCCAAACTCCCGAACTGCATACAAAATAGAACTCCAAACTCCAGAACTGGAACATCACGAATAGCTGCTAGCAGACGAATAGGATAAGCACCCAAGCGGCTTAAACTCCTAGCAATCAGTCTCTATCAGCATACAGTAAATCCCCCCAAGAACGAGACAGAGCTCCGTGTTGAGGGTCAAGCAGTGGTCTGGTTTAATGAGGGCTACCTGCCCAGTATTTATGCAGGTCTCCCACCTGGTGGACACTTCCCTAGGGGACCAAATGGGAGACTGTGACAAAGGACAGACATGAACCAATGACAGACACACAGAGGTAAAACATCCCCACAATGCATCCTAACTTCCCTCCCTCTGTCCTGGAGATAATCCCAAGACAGAGGCAAAACTCCATTACCCACACGTTTACAGTAAAACACTAAAACACAATAAAATACACAATATTACATTTATCACACACAATATATACTTGCAACGCATCCCCAGATAGCTGGGATCTGAGCGCACAAAAGTACAGAATAGCGCTCAGATCCTATGCACACAGTCCAATCGCTGTGGAGTTAAAGTGTTCCTAAAGTCTGTTCTCCATACAAATAGACTCCACGGGATGGCTATCTGGGGTAATGCTGTTCATACGGTTTAAACTACCGAATGAACAGGCATTCAGTTAACTGACCGAATGCAGAAGCAAGGAGGCTGACGGCTCAGCGGTGTTTGCGCAAATAAGTGTCCGTTTACAGTTCCACAGTTTGGGCGCCGAACACCGCTGGCCGTTCGGGACTTTAAAATGGCCGCCCGAACAAAGGCCACCCAGCATTCGTCAATTAAGCTGCGGTTTACCGCAGCTTCTGGGAGGTTAATTGCCGACACACTCCAGCTCCCAGGTGGTCCAGTCATTCGTGCGTCAGTTCGGTAGATTGAATCTACCAACCGCCGGGCAGAAAGGCACGAATAAGCCTTTTCTGCAGGGGAAAAGAAGTCTTTTAACATGGGGCCATAATCCAAAGGCAACAGGCGAGCAAACAGGCTTCTCCAATGCAATGTGGCGAGATTGCTCTCGTCACATCTCTCCCCTTTTCCAAACAGACTAACAGGGTATTTGACCTCCTGCCGGTCAGTGCCCTTGTTAGTCCAGCAGCCCACCCACAACACACAATCAGTAATACAGCCCACCCACAATAACCGGTTACTACACCTGGATAGAGGAGAAGCTTGTCCATGTCCAGGTGCCTCACCACGGCTGTGTGGGTGACTGGTAAGCTGACTGGGTGGGTTGCTGAGTGGGCAGAGACCAGCGGTACTCTGCCCTGGTGCCAGCGCTACCACAGGAGTAGCCTGGTTGGAGCCTGGTTGTTGGAGGGGGAGACCGACTGTCTCCCCTTTAGATACACAGCTCTGCTGCCGGAAGGGGAGACCGACTGTCTCCCCATTTGGCTAAACAGCCCTGTCGCTGGGGGGCAGAACCGACCGTCCCTACCCCCTGTGCTGTAAGTGCAGAGACCACTGTCCCATCTGCACGGTTGTGGGGTTTACTGTCCCCCCCGGTACGTTAAGCTGCTGCTGGTGAGAGGGGGTAACAAGCTCCTCTCCCATACATACTTCCAGCCGTGGGGGAGGGAGACCGACTGTCTCTGCTCCCAATACAGAGTCCTGCTGCTGGGGAAAGGAGACTGGGCTCTCTATTCCCGGTAGGACACCCTGCCGCTGGGGAATGGAGACTGGGCTCCCAATTCCCAATAAATCATACTGCCGCTGGGGAATGGAGACTGGGCTCCCAATTCCCTGCTTTATCTCCCGCTGGGGAATGGAGACTGGGCTCCCAATTCCCACTAACTCAGCCTGCCGCTGGGGAATGGAGACCGGGCTCCCAATTCCCTGTAATTCACACTGCTGCTGGGGATCTGAGCAGACTGCCCAGCATCCCTGTAGCTCACCCTGCCACTGGGGAGGGAGGACGCTGCTCTCCTCTCCCTGCAAGGTACACTGCCGCTGGGGGACAGGACCAACTGTCTCTGTCCCCTGTAACTCAGCCTGCCGCTGGGGAATAGAGACTGGGCTCCCAATTCCCTGCATATCACACTGCCGCTGGGGAATGGAGACTGGGCTCCCAATTCCCTGCAGTACCTGCCGCTGGAGTTCCTCCCAACGTGCCAGCTGACCTTCTCTTTCTGCCCGGTATTGCAGATTCTTGAACACTCGGTCCCTCATGGACTGCACGTATTTCTCAGCTGGATTGGGTCCGAAGAACTTCAGCCGCAATTCCATCATATTGTCAAACTCTCTGCTTGAGTAGCTCCACTGCTGGTTCCATCCTGGTGCTGTCAAGGTTGCTGTACTCAGACATGTGTTGCCCTCAATTTGTAAATCCAAAGAAATGGTGTCTCCTGTAGCTGTGCTTCTGGCTGTGGGAACGATCCCGCCGCTTGCCACCAATTGTAACGGCACCCCCAGGCATAAAAGGGTTAAACCGCCGTTTAGAAGATCTTCCCCTTCCAGAGATACAGGCACAGCTACTGCAGAACACCAAACTCCCGAACCGCATATAAGGGAATGCTCCAAACTCCCAAACTGGAACCTCACGAATAGCTGCTAGCAGACAAATAGGAAAAGCACCCAAGTGGCTTACACTCCTAGCAGCAGTCTCTATCAGCATACAGTAAATCCCCCCCAAGAACGAGACAGTGCTCCGTGTTGGGGGTCAAGCAGTGGTCTGGTTTAATGAGGGCGACCTGCCCAATATTTATGCAGGTCTCCCACCTGGTGGACACTCCCCTAGGGGACCAAATGGGAGACTGTGACAAAGGACAGACATGAACCAATAACAGACACACAGAGGTAAAACATCCCCACAATGCATCCTAACTTCCCTCCCTCTGTCCTGGAGATAATCCCAGGACAGAGGCAAAACTCCATTACCCACACGGTTACAGTAAAACACTAAAACACAATAAAATACACAATATTAGATTTATCACACACAATATATACTCGCAACGCATCCCCAGATGGCTGGGATCTGAGCGCACAAAAGTACCGAATAGCGCTCAGATCCTATGCACACAGTCCAATCGCCGTGGAGTTAAAGTGTTCCTAAAGTCTGTTCTCCATACGAATAGACTCCACGGGATGGCTATCTGGGGTAATGCTGTTCATACGGTTTAAACTACCGAATGAACAAGCATTCAGTTAACTGACCGAATGCAGAAG